AAAAAAAAAACAAACTACGTATCGCGTTGTTTGAGTTTCCTCCAATTTTACTAATGGCACATCTGTAAATGTTATATCAAGCAGTACAGTATGATGGCCATTTTTTTGTAACTGTTCAGCAATATGTTGTCCAAAATATCCACCACCACCAATAATACAAATTTGACTTGACATTCTGTTATTTCTGTGCTGTTTATCTGCAAGTATCTAGTTGGTTTACGCTAACGCAAAATGCTTCAACTCTTTTTTTTTCGTCTTGCATTTCAATTATAGCACCTAAAATAATCGGCTTCTAATATTTAATAATGTTTGCGCAACAAAATAACGTTATTCTGTAGAATAAAGAAAAAATTTTATATTTTTTTAATATTTATACAAATGCACACTGTTTCTGTTCAGTAACTTTAACATTATTATTTTGCAAAATCTATTAAACACTCATTAATAGTTCACGTTGAACTTTCTATTTGTTACGAAAAAATTAAACGAAATAGTTTGAAAAGAAAATGTAGAACATACTTTTTCTTTCTAGACAATAATTGTTGCAGAATTACTCGGTTTTTATAACAACTACTGCAGTCGGTAATTCTTGATTACAAAGTTTTTTGAAGATTTAAAAATAAGTAAAAATTCTTTTTCTTTTGATAAATAACTTAGTTATCAATAAAGAACATAAAAGAACATGACAAATGTTTCAACTTTCAGGAAGAAATAAGTAGAAATTGAAAAAAATATATGAAAAGAAGAAAATTACTTTCTACACTAATTTTCGATAAATACAGTTTTTGAGAAAAAAACAGTAACATTAGCCAGGGGTACCACGAATAATTCTGTACAAAAAAACTGTCTCAGCAACGCAAATAACTTATAGTTTTTAGCTAAATATCAATTCAGCTAGTTTTTCTCTAACAAACCGATAAAGTAGCATTTATGTAAAAAAAAGTTGTAAAAGATGTCTTCTTGGATTATTTGCTAGAATCTATAAGATTTTGAAAAGATATTACTTTATCAGTTTACAGCAGCGAAGACCAGAAAGTCTAGCGTTTTAGCGTTGGCGACCACAAATGTCTCAATAAATTCTGTGCCAGAATTTTTGAAATAAAGTAAAACAATTTTGTTTGACTTTTTAATCGTTATAGATTTTACAAACAATAATTTATTGAATACTGTTTAGCATAATGAATACATAACATTATCTTCCATAATATGTTTTCCTGAATCCCGGCTCAGAGTAAAAATGTAAGCATCGTTATTCTTTCTAATGAGCTATAAAGTACCATTAATTTTAAGCAAACTATGTAACGACAAAAAGTTGTCCAATATTTGTTTAAAAGAACACTTTATTAAATTAAGTAACTATTGCATTTTCCTGTGTAATTAGTAATTGTGTAAAACAGGCAAGCGAAAACCGGCTTTATAAATAATCGACTTAGAAGGAAGAACGATAGTAAGAGGAGCTTAGGCGACAATGTTAATAAACGCTATAAATGAAGTATAATCTGTTCTGATAGGCACTATTTATCGTTCTAGAATCTATATTTTACATTTTTTGCCTTATTCCAGTTTATCAGTTCTGTTGTTCGGTCTTCAGCTGCAAACTGCAAGAGGAAAGAACGACGAACAATGTTAAATTTACAGAACAAGGTGCTTGATAAACGGCGATTAACGAGAAAAAAATAAAGTTTAAAGTTGGTTATAAATATGACATAATTAAGAATACCAATTCCTGGTAACTCATCTAATTATATATTTTTTTTCTAAAATTTCATTAATATGCTTTCTCATTTTTTATAAGAAAAAAATTGTTAGAAAAATTTTGTGTAGCAATAAAACTCGAAAACAGCTAAAAACATAGTTCGAAAATGAAAAAAAAAAAAAACTGGGAAAATTGTTGTTGATTAGAGAAGAATTAACATAAGCACATAAAATTAGCTTTTCAAGCTTTTAAGTTATGCTTAACTTTAGAAATAAGAATAAAATCAAAAAAACAATAAAATTTGATGACAGAAAAATGAAGTTAAAAAATTTTATATCAAAATATGATATAAGTAAACTTAAAAAAAAAAATCTTTTTCTATTTAGATGATAAGCTATTTGAAAGTTATCACTAAAAGATGGCACTATAACCAGGAAAAATCAATGCTGCTGAAAAATTGTTTTATACGATGAAGTAATGAATACAATTTTTTCCGTTATTATCAAAAATTATATGCCAAAAAACATTTTGTTATATTTGACAATTTTTTAGCAATGAGAGCGAACTATATATTAATTCATATTCTGCAAAAAAAAAAAATAGAGTAAAAAATAAAACGTTTAAAAAAGCAAGTAACTTCAGTCAAACTGTTGAACATCAAAACTGAGTGAAACCTTACTCACTTTTTTTTTACGTTTATGTATTATTTTAAAAACTTGGTCAATTTTGGTTACAGTTTCTTACTTTAATATTGAATTGAAAAATTATATTTTTTTCAAAGCACTGATTAAAAAGTAGATAAAACAAATAAAACTGGTAATAAGTTTTTTTCTGTCATATATTAAATGCTAAAATAATGAATTTTTTTTTTGCCTTATGAATACCGTAATCATTAGTGTTGATAATATATTGTCTAAAGAAAACAGGTTGCTGTTCAAGCGGATCAGTTGATTAAGCATAATTTAAAAAAAAAAAGATTATCAATTGCCTAAAAATGACGTAAATATTGGATGAATAAATATCAGTATAGCAGACAGATGACAAATTTGTCTGAGATGAATAAAAAGGTGATCAAAATTGAATTTCAGGATTAGAACAGAGTACGCTATGAATGTGTAGTTGAACTGATATTTTATTATAAAAGCCTACTGAGAGCATCGAAACCAACGACAACAACGATATTCTATGGTATTGCTAAGGTATTAATATTGTAAGTTTTTATTTACAAGAAGTTTTTATAAACTAAAATTTTTTGAACTGACAAACTGAAAATATTAACGACATTACATTTTAGAATAAAGTTTAATGAAGAATGAAAAACAGTTACAAATAATTGGCTGCCTTTGAACAGCGTTACTGTGCTTTATAAACAAATTCAATAATTATTTGCTTTAAAAAAATAAATAATTTAAATTGTTGTCTGAATATGTCATCTGAAGAGAATAAGTTGCTGTCAGAGCAGATTAGTTGACTGAGCATAATTTTGTTGAAAGATTATCAGATTTAATTAAAAAATTTTCATCTTTTTTATTAAACTCTAAAAATCTTAGTACATTTAAGGGCACAGTTGTATTTTATTCAACAACAATTATTAAACAGCTAAACATCTAGCGGCTATAATACTAAAACCACTAGACAACTAATAAATATTTAGTTTCAATTAAGTTATTCTTTACTGTATAAAACTGCTAAAAATGTTATTATATTTAAGCAGTTTTTTCTAATTGCAAATTTACAGTTTGATGAATATCTGCTGCATGTGATTTTGCAACTCAATTATACAGTATAGCATAATAGATTAAAGCATTAACTGGTTGACTAGAAAAAGCAGTAAAGCAACAACCATAGTTGAAAAGAATCAAAATATAGCTTAATTAAGAAGATAATTTGTAGAAATTTTCTTAAATAAAGTGAAAATAAAATTTAGTGTAAAAAAAAGTTTATTAGTGCAGTTACCCAAAGTATAGTTTTATTATAAACATATTCTTTTCAAAATAATTGTTCAGCTAACTTTCAAGATACTATAAAAAACAACTAAAATATTTTTTAACACTAATTTTTCTTCTATACTATAACAATTACCTAAAATAAAACCACTATTTATTTTTGCTAGTTTCAACGAGTCTTCAAACAGTTAAGAGTAATTAAATGAACTAGCAAACTGATCCTTGACTTGTTATTTAAACTGACACAGCTGTTTTGTTGATATTTATCTGAATATTTTATAAAGAAGTTGGGTAAATATGAAAATGTTTGAATTATAAAAATAAATAACTTTATGTCACTTTTAACTGTTAAATCAACAGTTAGTATTAGAATATGAGGTAAAATTAGTATTTGTACAGAGAAATACAGTCAAAATAACCATAGAAATAATCGCCTAAACACTTTTTCAACTTTTTTTTTTTTTTTTTGAACACTATATCAAGTACGGTTAACTGGTTTTTCAAAAAAACATTACTGTTTACTTAGGTTTCTGCTTTAGAAGACTTTTCCGCTTAGGAATCAAACAAAACGGACGTCTTTTACAGTGATCATGTTCAAATAATTAACACCTCATCTTATAACCATTATTTGCACTTCCGAAGATCATTGCAAGACAATGTTTTGATCTTTGCAGTTTTTTGATTTTGATAAACAAAAAAAAATTAGATGAATTTTTTGTAATAAGTATAGCAGAAATTTAGTTTGTAGATAAATTCTGAATAAGGTATTTTAATTATTCTACGT